CAGTCAAATTTTTCCACAGCGATCTCGACAAACTATTTCAGTATGGACCTCGCTTTGTGCACGGGGGCATTGTCATGCTGAAACAGGAAAAGGCCTTCCCCAATCTGTTGCCACAAAGTTGGAAGCACAGAATCGTCTAGAATGTCATTGTATGATGTAGTGTTAAGATTTCCCTTCACTGGAACTAAGGGGCCTAGCTCGAACCATGAAAAAAAGCTCCAGAACATTATTCCGTCTCCACCAAACTTTACATGTGGCTCTATGCATTGGGGCAGGTAGCGTTCTCCTGGGATCTGCCAAACCCAGATTCGTCCTTCAGACTGCCAGATGGTGAAGCATAATTCATTACTCCAGAGAACGCGTTTACACTGCTCCAGAGTCCAATGGCGGCAAGCTTTATTTACACCACTCCAGCCAACACTTGGCATTGCGCATGGTGATCTTAGGCTTGGGTGTGGCTGCTCGGCCACCAAAACCCATTTTATGAAGCTCCCGCTGAACAGTTATTGCGCTGAAGTTGCTTCAAGAGGCAGTTTGGAACTTGGTAGTCAGCGTTGCAACTGAGAACAGACCATTTTTATGCGCTTTAGCACTCGCCGGTCCCATTCTGTGAGCTTCTGTGGTCTACCACTTCGTGGCTGAGCAGTTGTTGCTCCTAGATGTTTCCACTTCACAATAACAGCACTTACAGTTGACCGGGGCAGCTCTAGCAGGGCAGAAATGTGACGAACTGACTTGTTTGGAAAGGTGGCATCCTATGACATTGCCATGTTGAAAGTCACTGAGCTCTTCAGTAAGGCCATTCTACTGCCAATGTTTGTCTATGGAGATTGCATGGCGGTGTGCTCAATTTTATCAGATGTGTCAGATGTCTGCTGTGTGGTTTTGTGTGATGTTATACAAGGAGGGAGCAGAGGCACACATTTGCTGATTAGGAACTGTACACGACACAGGTGTCCTACTCTGTCTGCATTCATCAGAGGGATTCTGCCCCCCTCTGATTCATGTTCCTGCAAGACTAACAGAAAGACAGACAGAAAGACAGGAGTGAGTAAACTGGACACAAGGAAACACATGAGCAGCAATGTATCCAGAGAGAGAGAGAGACACTAGACAGCATTTGCATGACTGAACATGGTGGTTTATGAAAGTACACACTTAGCTAGCTAGTTGTCATCATCAGCTAGTTAGCTATGTCAGCTAACATTAGCTTACTCTTGAAATCAGACGAGGGTAGCTAAAGTTAACATTAGCTAGTGTGGGGATCTATTTTCTCATAATTGGATCTGTATGTGATGAATAGCTTAGAAGGAATGCATTAATGATAAGCATAGGTTTGTACTATACTGATATAAATTGTTTCACATAACAGGCTGTGATTCATGTGAGGAACGTTAGGGGTTAGGACAGATAAGACTTGTATTTCTTACAGATACGAACACTGCCTCTTTGTTGTCTGTGAACCGTTGTCTGTGAACCGTCCTTGAACTAGGTACTCACAGTACAGTGGAATGGTGTCTTTTGGGTGCTAACTCCACAGGTTGTTATGATAAAAACGTATGCCTGGCAACAGTGTGCAACAGGTGGAGCGCCAAGTGTCTGGGACCAGCCGGTGCGCCAACGGATAGGCTGAGTAAGTCTAAACCACGCTCAGTCTCTACTCTGATTGGCCAGCAGGGAGTGGGAAATATCTCTGTCAGAGTATTTGAAGAAGAACCTGTAACAATGGATTAGTTCTCTGTCTGCCCTGCGTGGTATTTCAGTGAGCCCGTATACGAACCATCATACTTATCATACATACATTTTGCATATAATAAATTTAGCTTGGATTGAATATCTCTTGATTATGTTTTCTCTTACTCCAATACCAGATTTTAATAACGCAATTTCTAACACTAGCTAGCTATGGATAAAGGAAAATGTTCAACACAACAAAGAACGACTATGTTTAAATTAATGTAGATTACTGTCTAAGATAGCTTTGTTCACTATATTTGTATATCTAATATACACTGTCAGCCAGCTAACCTAAACGTAAGGCTTGCTAGCTAGTTAGCTAGCTAACGTTAGCTAGCTAGCTAATTTAGTTCCACTGTCAGAGAGCTAACGTTGGGCATAACTAGCTTTATGTTTTGTATCCATTTATCAAAACTAGCTTGCTGACCAAATGCTGCAAACACCCATCACACAGTCAATGTTATAGCCCAGCTGAAGTCATGCCATTCCACATTTATTTTGGTTTATAATCATGTTATAATGCTCATATAATGCTGAACATAGGTTCAAACCATTGTCACTAATCAATTGCATTCCACTCCAAATAATTTGAATTCAGATGATAATCTGTTTGATGACTAGCTAGCTATGTTGGCTAACTGACCAAACCCATTATGATGGTTAGCTAGCATGCTGGCTAGCCCGACTGCTACATCAGAAATAATTGTTTGCAAAACTAATAGCAGAGTTGAATCTTAGCGAATGTCTTAAACAACAGTCCAAAACAACATATAAGCCTGTGTTAAAAATATATATGTATTATGAAATGTACAGGCAAAATGCAAATCACTAGGGAATCTATCTAGCTGGTTACACTTCTGCTCCTTGTTCTATCTGGCCAATGGCTTTCTCTGACGAGATGTCCTTGCATCCATAAAAGTTCACATCTCTCTTTGCCCGAGACTATCGCTATTTCAATCGAATGTCCTGCTCAACATCCACTCGAGGGCTCCCCTAGCGGTGAAAGCTGAGCAGTACATGTCCCTCTCTCCCCGAGACTCTCACTCTTTCAATCGGACGTCCAGATGCTGTATACTCTACGTCTTTGTCTTTATAGTTGCCTCTCCATTAACTATCACCGTAATATTAGGTTTAAATGTCTGTAGAACATTTACATTTTAGTCATTTAGCAGACGCTCTTATCCAGAGCGACTTACAGTTAGTGAATGCATACATTTTTTATACTGGCCCCCAGTGGGAAACGAACCCACAACCCTGGCGTTGTAAGCGCCATGCTCTACCAACTGAGCTACAGGAGTTTCCACGTCATCGCCCGAAGTCCTCCGACATGGATGGACGGCTAATACTGACTTCCATAGGCATCGCATGAGTTTTAAGTTTTGAGAAGCACATTTTTCACCATCAAATTGCACCTTTATAATAAAGGATTGCATGCATCTATCATCGCATTTGCAGACTTATGTAAGGTAGGAAGATAGGCTACTATTCCCAATGTGATGAGTAGATTGCATAGTCATAATTTAGTCTAATAATATAACTCTATCACTGTTAGCAAAACAGACCGTTCTGAACATTGTATGCCTGAGCATGTAGTGACATATAGGCCTAACGAGAGAAATGTATTCTCCTTTATTTGCACAGGAAAAATGTGGCCTTTTATAAACACATTTCATGCAATTCTACTACACTATATTACTGGAGACATAAGAAATATATGTTTTAATAAGGCACAAATTAGTAGCCTATTAAATTATGCTGATACTGACAAACAGATCAGTAAAAACGACCTTGTCTTGAATGCAACCATCTAATCTAGGCCTCGAAAAGGGGAGACACAAATTGTACAATATGATCACCATCTAGCCAGGAGGAGGAAATTATTGTCCCCCAAAAAAACGTTCCAGTGGGACTGATCTAATGATAAAGACCGTGAATATGCGCGCACTCACCAGGGATATTGCCTGCGGGCACTTACCGGGAATATTGCCGATGTCCTCCTCTGGTGCCAATAAGATAAACTACTGTTCGCTCAATTGGGAGTTTAGAAATGTGATAACTAGAGACAGATTAGAGTATTTTCTTTGTCTTCTCTTTTCACCAATAGCCATTTGCTTTCTAAACTATATTTTTCCTATAATTGTATTTTGAAATATTGTGATAGGCCTAGGGCTATTTAACTGCTTTTCACTGAGAGCTGTAACTCAACAATCAGCTATTTGGCATGCTGCCCAAACTGCACGTTTAAAACAACCCACAGTTCATTTTTAAAAGAAGCTAATGACCCTCTGTGGCCAAATCATGCTCGCTGGTGTAGTATTTTGAATGATTTCATTTATTTCTGTATAGGCACCAGTAATTATATAGCATTCTTCCCATAGTCTGTTGGAAGCACCGCTTATGCCGACATCAACAACACAACATGACATCAATGTGAAAGTAACCGGTGCATAAAACAGCTGGCTGCGAGGTGTCGTATCGGGTGAATGGTGGCAATTATTGCTGATAAACAAAGGAGTCCGCTCATACTGAACTTGGATCATAAGGTTTATTCATATCACAAGCTTCACAGCATAAGTGACAGATGTCATGACATCCGGAGAACGGCGTCCCAGATTGCAATGGCCGTTCTGCCCTTTCTTTGTCTAGCCCCTATTTATAAACAATGCAAAAAGATGGGTGGCTCCCTCTTCTGGCCAATCACCAGTCTCCCCTGGGGCGTCACCCTCCAAACGGCTACATTTGACCTAACATAAACAACATTCCATTTCTTCAAGAAAAACATTTAACAAAGGCATAATCCCAATACACGACAGAGGCTTATGAGGCAGAGTTCAAATGCCCAAACGACTGACTGGCTAAGCAAACTGTCTGGCAATGTCTCTGCTCTCTGAGAGAGGCGCACAGGCTTGTAGCTTCTCTCAGAGCGATGATCTGCATGGTCCTAAAGCCAGCTAGAAGATATACTAAACAGCAGTGTTATTCTAATAGGGATTTGTATTTGTATTTGTATTTATTATTATTACTCTTCCTGGCGTCCAAACATATTAAAGCACTTACATTACATATAAAACAAAAGATAAAACAGTACATCATATAACATTATTACACCACTACAAATCTACAATACAATCTGAGCCGAATGCTGTTGGAATGAAAGTAAATGATTACTTTTTTGTAGCCTACTTTTACATTTTTGGTCTTGATCTAAGATTGGCATGCCCAACTGACGCCCATGCTTGCACTTAACTCTGTGTAGCTGGTTTATGATCCAGCTAAATGCCAAGGCGGAGATAATTTGCTCATTGTGCCCGTCGCCGGTCCAGCTACACCTGGAGGAATTACAGCTGGATACCGGTACGCGCGCGGCTGCTGGTCGGAGCCAGGCGGCCAAAGCTTCTGAACAGGTCCGGCTGGAGTTCTAACCAAATACTGGAGTACTAAGCAACACCCAACAGTCAGGTGTTTCTGAGGATGAGCCGAGGTTCACTTATGATGGAGTTAGCGCAAAAGTCGCTCTGGAAGGTTCAACCCGGTGTAGTGAAAATGAGAGAGCGAAGCGGTCCCGAACCTCCATGTTTAGCGAGAGCCTGAGGACAGGTGGCCCCGGTTAGGAAGGAGATACCTCGGATGAGAGAAGAAGTCCTGGTCCGTTACTGGACAGAAAGACTGGGCCGATTTGAATTCAAGTGGAACACGGACAAGAGGAGAGGGACTTCCAGAGGAGATCATCCCAAACTAACCAGCACTACTTCGCCTTGGCCGTTACTCCGCGCACAAGCATGCAGTTGTTTTCTGTTCGGGACAAAACCGCAGCGTAAGTGATGTTTATTCACCAAATGCGTGTGGTTTTATAAATAAAGCGTTGTGTATTATGAATAAAGCCCTACGTTCCGTCAAGCACTGTAATGGCTTATCATACCATGCTGTCCAAACTGTGCTGCTCATGGAAAACTCTTTGTCCTCTGTAACAGGAGCATTGGTTCAGTTGGGCATAGCAGGGCACATAACCCAAATACTGGGTTTCAGCACCTCCAGAATATAGCATTCGGGGACAGGTTGGACTGGCATTTCTATTGCGCACAAAGAGATGCTTGCTTGCTGCAGAATCCGTGCCTGTGCCATAACGATAGCAGCATTGCTTCACATAGCAGTTAAAAAACACTCACTATAGGTTGCGCGTAGGCTATAGCGTACTCTGACAGGTGAATTCCACTATTAGTTGTAGTTTATTCATATGTAATGAAAACGACTGAAATAAATCCTAATCCTTAATTTGTCTTGTGTTTTGCAATAGATATGCTTGGGAATAGGCTATCATATATACCTCGCTTCAATTTAGTGACTGGCAGAGTTGTAAATATTTTTGACGGCTATAAATTCTTCGAAATCTTTACTTGTAATGACATTTCCCTGAGAAGGAAAGCCTATGTTGTCATCTGAAATGCTGGCTTGTTCTTGCCACTTCTACCTTCACAATTCCTTTACAAAAGGAATATAGATATAGATTAGGCCTAGTTGAATTATTCAATTATATGCATATGTATTATGTGGACTTTGTATGAGGGTATCATTAGGCTTCCTAAAAGCATTATCTGCAGTGGGGTATTATTGTAGGGATACAGAGGCAATTTACATTTACGGCATTTAGCAGACGCTCTTATCCAGAGAGACTTACAGTTAGTGCATTCATTATTCTTTTTCTTTTTTTCTCATACTGGCCTCCCGTGGGAATCGAACCCACAACCCTGGCGTGTCTACCAACTGAGCTACCTCCCTGGCGGCCATTCCCTCCCCTACCCTGGACCAATTGTGCGCAGCCCCATTGGTCTCCCGGTTGCGGCCGGCTACAGCAGAGCCTGGATTCGAACCAGGATCTCTAGTGGCACAGCTAGCACTGCGATGCAGTGCCTTAGACCACTGCGCCACTCGGGAGTACTTTTTTTTTTATCTAGTGAAGGATCTAGTCTTAACTTTCTTAGCAAAACATCCACAGCACTTATAACACTGTTCTAAATATTATTTCTTAGGCCTATATTATCAATATCTGATGGTCAAGAGTGCAATTTCATTGATTGTCAGGCTATGAGGCTGTAATAGCATGCTTACACATTCACACAGAAGCATTGTTATGTCATATCTGATTTTGGTCCATAACTGTTGCATGTTGTTCTGCCACCAAAATCTGTCAGTCTACATAAGAGTAAGGGATGCAGTACAACCTGTCTCATCCTCTGTGAGTGAAGACAGCTTGTACTTTAACTGAGGTCACTATGGATCATGTTGGTCATGTTGATGCTAGGACATGTCCTTGTTCTGGCTAATACTTCAGGCTGCTAATACATTAATGGCTGTTTTGACACAGATGAATCATCTTCCAGTAGCAGACAGAACATTTCATCCCAATTTTATTCTGAATACTGAATTGATACTGAAATGATTTCATCCCCCCAAAATGGGATAGAGGCCTTCATTTGAAACAGAATAATAAGGCAAAATGAACCAACCATGCTAACTATTTTTTATAATTCTTACATGTTTAATTTGTTATTGTGGCTGCCTCTTTTTGCTTGATTTCATTTGGATGAAGGAGGAAAAAAACAAATCCCACAGTTTCAGTACCCTTGCCTTGATTATGATTATGTTGTTTTTGTAGTATATATACTTTAAAAATGTTGTGGGTATTTTACCCCCTTTTTCTCCCCAATTTCGTGGTATCCAATTGGTAGTTACCGTCTTGTCCCATCACTGCAACTCCCGTACGGACCCGGGAGAGGTGAAGGTCGAGAGTCGTGCGTCCTCCGAAACACAACCCAACCTAGCCGCACTGCTTCTTGACACAGTGCCCGCTCAACCTGGAAGCCAGCCGCACCAATGTGCCGGAGGAAACACTGTACACCTGGCGGCTGAGTCAGCGTGCACTGTGCCTGGCCCGTCACAGGAGTCGCTAGTGCGTGATGGGACAAGGACATCCCTTCCGGCCAAACCCTCCCCTACCCTGGACGGCGCTGGGCCAATTGTGCGCCGCCCCATGGGTCTCCCGGTCGCGGCCGGCTGTGTATGCCCTCGTGTGCTTGTAAGACAGGCTTGCTGGGTGTAATGTCTACCTCAGCCTTCCTGCCTGCCTCCGTTTCCCCTTAGCTGTAAATCTTTAATAAATATCTTGAAGCCGTAAACAGGCATCCATTTTGAAATATTTTCTTATTGCCAGGCGAGGGGGACTGACTGCCTACTCAAGCATGTTTTCTCCAGCTCTCTCACACTAGTACTGGACTACTTTATGTTCATTGGGCTTTAGATCCTGATTGTATGGGTGATGAATTAAGCCCTCAAAGATGGCCTGTTGGAGCCTGAAGTCCTCTAACTAACGTAACCACAGCAGTTTGGGTTGGAGTGTGTGTGTGTGTGGTGGGGGTACTCTGGCCTCACCCATCCATTCACTCACTTGTCGTTGTGCCACCACTGCTTTTCCCTCCTTTTCTCTTTTATTCCCTACCTCTCCCAGAATGCCCTGCTCTGCTTGTGCTGCCCGAGCTGTGCTGTGGTGTGTTTTGCCACTATTCCCTCTAGGATGACCTGGGTTGTAGTGGTGTTATGTTCCCCAAGGCAGGTTGTGTCCTCTGAGGCATGTAGACAAGACTAATGTGGTCTCTTCTCTGTCTGTCTGTCTGTCTGTCTGTCTGTCTGTCTGTCTGTCTGTCTGTCTGTCTGTCTGTCTGTCTGTCTGTCTGTCTGTCTGTCTGTCTGTCTGTCTGTCTGTCTGTCTGTCTGTCTGTCTGTCTGTCTGTCTGTCTGTCTGTCTGTCTGTCTGTCTGTCTGTCTGTCTGTCTGTCTGTCTGTCTGTCTGTCTGTCTGTCTGTCTGTGTGCCTGAGCCCTGGGTGGATACTAGCCTAGACTCACTATGGGGAGAGAGATGGTCTCACTGTTGAGTCTCTCTCATTCTCAGTGGTGTTTATGAATATAGTGGCAGGGTTCCTTCTTCCTGCCAGTTTGGATCGTGCCTCATGCTGATTGTTATTATCATGAAAGCCACTTTCCTAAGGGATTTTCAACCTTCATCATTTATTTAATCCATCAAATCGCTTTTTAAGTCAATGCTTCCAGCAATGCACTTCGCTGGTAGTAAATATCTACATATTTGTCAATATTGCAGGAAAATCTGCCAGCCTTGGAGTGATCAATGGCAATGATTTTCTCTTGAATAAATTTTTTCATCACGCAACACATGGTTTTCTCTTTGTTCTTCATACATCCAGTGGGGAAAATCTAAATATGGATTTGCATAAGATGCAGAGTGGGACTCTGTGAGTGGTCTTTAATGTAAGGGACATCACAGAGAGAGTTCATTATACACTGCTCAAAAAAATAAAGGGAACACTTAAACAACACAATGTAACTCCAAGTCAATCACACTTCTGTGAAATCAAACTCTCCACTTAGGAAGCAACACTGATTGACAATACATTTCACATGCTGTTGTGCAAATGGAATAGACAACAGATGGAAATTATAGGCAATTAGCAAGACACCCGCAATAAAGGACTGGTTTTGCAGGTGGTGACCACAGACCACTTCTCAGTTCCTATACTTCCTGGCTGATGTTTTGGTCACTTTTGAATGTTGGCGGTGCTTTCACTCTAGTGGTAGCATGAGACGGAGTCTACAACCCACACAAGTGGCTCAGGTAGTGCAGCTCATCCAGGATGGCACATCAATGCGAGCTGTGGCAAGAAGGTTTGCTGTGTCTGTCAGCGTAGTGTCCAGAGCATGGAGGCGCTACCAGGAGACAGGCCAGTACATCAGGAGACGTGGAGGAGGCCGTAGGAGGGCAACAACCCAGCAGCAGGACTGCTACCTCCGCCTTTGTGCAAGGAGGAGCAGGAGGAGCACTGCCAGAGCCCTGCAAAATGACCTCCAGCAGGCCACAAATGTGCATGTGTCTGCTCAAACGGTCAGAAACAGACTCCATGAGGGCGGTATGAGGGCCCGACGTCCACAGGTGGGGGTTGTGCTTACAGCCCAACACCGTGCAGGACGTTTGGCATTTGCCAGAGAACACCAAGATTGGCAAATTCGCCACTGGCGCCCTGTGCTCTTCACAGATGAAAGCAGGTTCACACTGAGCACATGTGACAGATGTGACAGAGTCTGGAGACGCCGTGGAGAACGTTCTGTTGCCTGCAACATCCTCCAGGTTGGCGGTGGGTCAGTCATGCTGTGGGGTGGCATTTCTTTGGGGGGCCGCACAGCCCTCCATGTGCTCGCCAGAGGTAGCCTGACTGCCATTAGGTACCGAGATGAGATCCTGCTAGACCTCATGTGGCTGGAGTGTGTCAGCAGTTCCTGCAAGAGGAAGGCATTGATGCTATGGACTGGCCCGCCCGTTCCCCAGACCCAAATTCAATTGAGCACATCTGGGACATCATGTCTCGCTCCATCCACCAACGCCACGTTGCACCACAGACTGTCCAGGAGTTGGCGGATCCTTTAGTCCAGGTCTGGGAGGAGATCCCTCAGGAGACCATCCGCCACCTCATCAGGAGCATGCCCAGGCATTGTAGGGAGGTCATACAGGCACGTGGAGGCCACACACACTACTGAGCCTCATTTTGACTTGTTTTAAGGACATTACATCAAAGTTGGATCAGCCTGTAGTGTGGTTTTCCACTTTAATTTTGAGGGTGACTCCAAATCCAGACCTCCATGGGTTGATAAATTTGATTTCCATTGATTATTTGTGTGTGATTTTGTTGTCAGCACATTCAACTATGTAAAGAAAACAGTATTTAATAAGATTATTTCATTCATTCAGATCTAGGATGTGTTATTTTAGTGTTCCCTTTATTTTTTTGAGCAGTGTATATCTAGCAGGTTATCAATGAAGTGAGCTGGTCTTTTGAAATGCCTACATCTCTTTCAGAGAGCTAGAAGACAAACACATGAACATGCGCGCACACACACACACACACACACACACACACACACACACACACACACACACACACACACACACACACACACACACACACACTAAGTGGTATAAG